ATCTTACCACGTGTGGTGGGCTCTCGACTTTTGCAGTCAAAGTGACCGGGGTCGTCATGAGAAAAGAGCCCCAAAGGAACAGGACGTCAAAATTACCAGCTGAAACATGACTGGAGCTCAACCACAACTATTCACATCTCAAGAAGTCGAAGACCCACTGCTCGACACAGATACTCAAAAAAATTCACTGAACTTCAAACAACAGAAGAATCGTATGTTTTGGGGCTTATTGAGTTGGAGGAATATATGGAGAAACATCCCGAAATATTTAAACACAGGCACATAACAGTTGTGCAATTCCTTCAACGGAAACACAACGGATTTTTGAAAAAGCTCATTTTAGCAAACACCGAGAAAAAGGTATCATTTATTTTAAAAGCGCTAGAAGAGTTTACACTGTTTATGGCAGATAAAGAAATGAAAAATATGTATGTCAAATTTATTGGAGCGATGGATGGCTGGCTGAAAACACTTGAAAAACACAACCCTTGGCCAAGAAAAAATCGCGAATTGTCTATTGTTGCTGGTTTATTATTATTACCAATGCAAAGGCTCCCAAGATATGAATTGCTCCTGATGGATTTAATAAAGAGCCCACAACTCCAGGGGAATATTGATGTGAAGAGAGCTCTTGACTCTTCAAAAGAAATGGCAAATCACGTCAATTCTAAAACAAAGAAAATGACGTGTAAAACAAAGAAATAATTTGTTAATGATTAACTAGTCGTATTAATTTGGTTAATAACAAACATAATAAATAATAAAAACACAATAAAAAAATATTTTAGTTATTAGCTTTTAACTTTGAAAAAAAATAAATGAAAGATGTTTTTTAATCTCTTCTGATTTTTCTTTTATGTACCTCTTCTGGTAAATTTGAATGACAATTTTAACACACAAATTGATTTTTGTTAATTTCAATCACATTCAGAATTACTCTTTTATTAATATTTTTTCTTTCAATTCTTTAACGGTGTTGTTGTTCGACGATCTTTCTTCAAAAATAAGTTTATTTTGTTTGAAAAATTGTTGTGTTATAAACAAGTTCCTTTTTACTCTCCACGTCAATGTTTTTCTTTTTAAGTGAAGATTTGTGTGTTTGAAACTCACTTTTCTTTGTGAAAATTGATTTATATAAAATAAAGTTCTGTTGAATTATATCAATCAGAAAAATTGTCTTTAAAAGTTTTCAAACAACACGTCCAAAATACTGTTACTGGTAGTTAAACATGATAAAGAGTCTGTACAGACTAATTCCTTTTCATTGCTATTTTTCACTTGGGCGCAATTGATGTAGACTGATAAAAAAGTCATCACCATCATATATCTTTTATGAGGTGATAAAAGATATATATTTTTAATTTTAATATTAGATATTGTTATTTTATTTTTTATGAACACTATTTTTAATTCTTTAATAGTAAACTAAAAAATAGTATAAAAACCATATTATTTCAACAAACATGTATTATATTATATAGTTTAAACTATAAATAATAGAAATCAAAGAACTTGTTATATAAGAAGATGTTTCATAACTCAAAAAGATATACAAATAATGCAGGGAGTCAACCAAAATGGCTACAGCCAATTGCCACCAATGGTCCCACCACCAACCTATGTCCAACCGACTGTGGTTCAACCAGTCTATGTTGCAGCACCACCACAACAACAATATATTAACGGCGTTTATCCACAACAATACTCAGAACAACCAATCTTTGTTGGACAAGCACAAACAACACAACCACAGAACGACAGTGCACAAAGTCTCACAATTTGTTTGTTCATCTGTGGATTCTTCTTTGTGTTGTTGTGGCCATTTGCTTTCATCGCTTCGCGTAAATCAAGAAACCAATCGACGAGAAATCTTGGGACTTCGGCACTCATCGCATTCTTCATATACGTCCTCATCATCACAATCACTTTCCCAATCATTTTTGCTTAATCGTTGGTTCTTCTTGTTTACTTGTTTCATTTTTTGTTTGTGGATAAAATTTTTATTATAACGTACTTTATTAATTATTAAAATAATAATTATTTATTACTTGTTTCTTTAATTAAAAGAATAATTAGGTTAACACTATTCATTTTTTTTGAACTGCTTTTTTTAAGTAATTTGTTTTTAAACACTAATACTATTCTATGTTTAAATTGTTTGTAATTTCAAAAAAAAGTATTTTTTTACTCTTCATAAAAATTAAGCTCAGTCCATGCATGTCATTCATCATTTTATATAATCAGGATAATAAATTTGACTTCATTGCTTTTATTTATTTACTTTATTCTTGTTAAGTTAGCCAATTGTTTGTATAATTATAATTATGGGTATTTATCTGATACATTGAATTATAAATTTATTATAAGTATTATTATAAAAACAAATATAATAAAGTAATTTATTTAATATTATAATAATGATTATTGTTTAGTTATATTGGTGATAAATAATATGAATTTATTATTTGTGTTGTGTGTGGTTCTGAAGAGTAAATATTTATCACAAAAAAAATATTTATACAGTTACAATTTTTAAGTTTTATATATCAACAAAAGTTGTTTGTTTAAAAACAATTAATTTATTAAATTATTCATTAAAATTAAAATAACAAAATCAAGAGCATTTACAGACGTGGTACTAAGGTTTCGACCATAACCATGGTTTCGACTATTATTAATAATATTTATACCATTATTAAAACTAAATTTGAAAAGTTATATTTGGACTATTTTTTAAAAATAAATATAGAAACTCGTTCATTACTATTTAAATAGTATTTAAATAATAAATCGAAACCTTGGTACTCGTCGAAACTTTAGTCCCACATCTGTAATATCATAATTTTATTTTATTAATTATTGTTATTTTTTTATCAAACTATGATTAAAATAGTTGAAATAATTAATTAATATAAAATATATATAATTTTATCAATAAAAGAACAACTTTAGTTGACAATTGAATGTTATTTTTGGAATTGATTTTCATACATTTTATTTTTTGTTTTCATAGAACTTGATTTCCCAAAAGTTTTAAACTTCACATTTGTAATCACAATAAAAAGCATTTATGGTCACTAAAATAATTACAAACAATTCCACTCGATGTTTATGATCTTACTAATTAAGTTTTTAATTAGAAATAAACCATAAACTTTATTAAAAATATTTTTATATTTATTATTTTGAGCAGTATAATGTTATAATTAACAATGAATTATTTAACAGTTTTATTTTAAAAGGGGTATAAAACCCAAATATAACCAAATAGAAACAAGATTCTTCTTCATTTTTTGATTCAGGCAACCCATTTCAAATTAAAAGAAAAAACACTCAAAAACAACAAATGCTTTTACTTCTTCTAATCGCATATTCTTCAGCTGTATTAAAGGAAAGATTGTGACATACAACGTCACACTTCCCACCATTTTCTAGGTACAGAAAACACTGGAGATCTT